TTACCTACATAATATTTTTTTAAATATTGTTTCAATTTATTGATTAACTGAGCAACCCTGCACTACTATTATTTGAGCGGTAGTGGATGTTTGGAATGAATACTGTTTACATATTTACATATTCATAAAGGCTTAGTAAAGAAACGGTATTGCCATTTTTCGAGAACAATGAGTTAATAAGAACATTACCAGAGTCAAGGTTAGATAGCTGAATGATCGTTATAGTTTGTCGTAAATCAATATGATAATAACTGTACTCTACTGGACAAAAAAATAATCGTTTTTACTTCAAGAGAAAGGATGCACGGATTAAGTTTCAAACATAAAAACTACTTTATGGATTCGATACACTCAATAAGTTAATCTATTAATATCTTTTCGAAAAGTTACACAGATGAGAATAAATTAAGGGAGCATGTTATTTGATGATTAACAAAACTTGAGCAGACCGTAAACAAGCAATACATGTCTCATATTTCGATCTTCTGATTGTAATTTTGTAATGTAATTTTAAAAAACTGGATACTCTGGAATTTGTAAATGTATAGAGTAATTTTTTGCTTTGTCAACAAATATTTTGCGGCTAATACCTCAATCCAATGGTCTCCAAATGAGATTTATTTCCTTGTTTTATAATGAAACACGCCATAAATCAGCTATTTCATTTATTATAGATGTCCGATTTTCAGTATTCTTCAAGCTTACTAGAATTCGTTTAGAATCTGTAAATATAAATGTTTTTTTCTACGGATAGTTCTTCAATACACTTCAAGGTGATTAGAATGACATATGCTTCCCATCCAAATATAGAACAATAACCATTGAATACATAATGTAATATTGATTCCTATTTTTTTTAATATTTCTTCTTGCTCGGCATTTCTGCCTTTGAAGGTTGATGATTTAAGATTTCTATAACATTATAGAATGAACCATCCTCAGGTTTTAGTTTCAATACACTTTCATTACTTTTCTATTTTTACTGCACAATTAGCCCAATTTTTGGCACGGAAATAATAGGTGAAAATATATGTACATCCAATATATTTGTTGTATATTTCAATGAAGTAAATTTGATATACCGTTGTGTTCGATTCTTTTTTAGAAAGATCAATGAAATTGAGATTGATAAGTTTTTATAGAGGCAATTCATAAAGGTCTTTTCTTAATCATGATACATTTTCAACAATCACAAAAGGTAAGTGAAATTCTTCAAGAAATTTCTTCCTTTTTGTTTTTAGGATACTGCCTAAGTAATGCAAAGATTTGTATTGTTGTGGGAGAAAGACGGCGATTTTTCGACAGAAAAATAATTATTGCCAGGTCCTGGTGGCAAAAGTGGATAAATCTTGTCCATATGCGTAGTAAATTACTTCCTCTAACACATTGTGTATTCAGAATTCACGTTTGGTGGGTCATTGATTCCAAAAAATACCGCAAAACGTCTGTTCGTTCGTTCGTTCGTGTGACTGTGAACAACGCTAGTTAAACTACAATCAGAATTTTCCCCAAAATCGATATTTCTCGATCAATCCGACCGATGTCGCCGTCTCTTGAATTTGAAATTCCGTCGCACAGTTCTCACAATACGTATCAACAGTACTCACACTAGCTCGTTCGTTTCGATGGGGATGTCTCTGCTCTTATTCCTCCTTAGTAACAATCCTACAATTGTTTAATTGACTTTTCTACGATGCATAAAGGCATGCTCGTTTCTGCGCTGCACCACATGACACTATGAGCTCGGGAAAGCTAGCCTCCGCCCCTTTGCACACCGTTCGGAGCTGTCTCTTCCGGGCTCCGCCACTTCACGTGGCAGCCCGCGGCGGGCAGGCACCGGGTAGGCACGTGGTGGGCGTTTTTCCGCCCGCGCGAACGGCAGCGGCCGCCACCGCCAACGCTACCACTGCCCCCGCCCCCCCGCCGCCACCGCTGCCGCTGCCGCCACCGTCCCCGCCACCGGAGAAAGTGAGCGACCCACGTGCGCGAAGAAATATCGATGGGAGGTGGCGGAGCGGAGGCAGGGAAGGTGATGTGGGCGGACAAAGCAAGACGTGACCTGCATTCCTAGCTTTCTTTTCTCTGCGCGGTTCTAGACAGACCATGCGAACTATTATCAACTGATTATTCATGCAGCAAATTCGACAGATTGATTGATTGAGAGATTCCGGGCGCGTCAACTGATAAGGTCATTAGTCCTGTAAGAATGGTGCATGTTTTGTTGTTTTTTTTTGCTCGGGAGGTGGTGATGGTGATCTTCCTCCACTGGATTGTGAGATCCGGCGTTACCTACTATGGTTTAGCGGGGTTTTTCCATAGCAAGTGTCTCCCACCCAGCGGGGCGCCGCCCCAAACGGGAGAAGCTCTAAGCTCCCGGCCGGTCTCCCAGTATGTGTTGTAGTGTAATGCATATAAGCGTAGTGCTCGTAAGTGTAAGTGGGTGTAAGAGGTAGCCTAGGACAAGAAATGGGAAGGAAAGATCGCGCGCTGTTCGTGGCCCTTTGGAAGGGTACTGCTCCGGCATTCGTCTGGTATTGATAGGAGAAACCATCGAAAACAACCCATCAGAGCAGTCGGTCGCTAGAATTCTCCTCCAGACAGGGACAACTCAACTTAGTTATCTAAATGTCGAAAATCCTGGCACACTTGGGACTGGAACGTAGGACCTCCCGGTCAAAGGCACTACGGTGAAATTAGAAAACGTACGTGAATATTTATCAATAAGTAACATTTTATTTAACTTCCCAGGAATTATGAATTTCAAGATGGATGATGGGTGCTGTTGTTACATTGATCGCTAAATTGTTTAAAATGTGGCGCCTCATTTCGAATAAAGCACTTTTGATGTTCTTTGAAGGCGTTTCAGAGGAAAGGATCATACATGATCTTGATGAAAGACTATGTATAGAAGTGGCGATGTTTCATTGCAGCTTTTACTAATTGCTCTCCCAACTTATCTTACGAATATTTCGCAGTCTCAACAGGTGCTGACCTCTTAATAATAATGCAAAATTCGACCTTGCACAACACTATTTACTAAAATGTTTAAAATGGTAATCTGAATATACCTATATTTTGATTTCACGTAAATAAAATGTTAGCGGCAAGAGAATAAAAGAATTATGCGGCGTCATTCAAGACTAATATTCTCAATTAAAATTCGTTAAATTGAAAAACTTGTTTTGAAGATACGTCGGTTTTCTGTGACAGGCTTAATAATACCTTAAATCTCATTGACATTCTGTACAAGGGCGATTGTAGTGAAGTCCTGTATTTGGACTCTGGGACTAGTCGTTCTGAATTTGTTCCATGGTTTGGAGAAACTGTAAGACACCAGAAACGGTTGATGAGCGAGTTATCACAACTAGTGCTGTGTAATTAATGATGATCGTAAAGTGAAATAAACAGGGGGGAATAAATAGTGAAACTGGGAGCACCGAAACAAATATAGACATAAAACCATTCTTTCCGCAGAAAATTCAACGTCAAGAAGCCTGGATCGATCACAAATCAAAGGGCCAAGGTCAATAAACTATTATACTAAGGGATGTTGCTTGGAAATCTTTTTACTTTTTATATAATATACAAATTCGGAATATACTCATTTATTTATTACATCAGAACATAACTGGCTCGCCTGAAACAAAAGGGGTCTAGATTAGATTAAATTAGATTAGATTAGATTTATTTCGTCCACAACATTTTATTCTATGAAACATTTTGGCTAAAATTCAGGTTATGGTAAATTTGATCCGAATAAGTGAGCAAATATATATTCTAAAGTGATCTATGTCTCATTTGACGTTGTAGGTGCCACGTAATAAAAGTTCTAGGAACTAAATGAGAGTGTAATAGAGGCTTTAGAAATGACACAAATCTTTTTTAGACCACAGTAATTTTCTAATGAACAGTTGTTAAAAAGAAACAAATGAATATTTTTCATAAAATTATGGAACCTATTTAGTTAAGTTTGAAGCAATAAATCACACTTCACAAGGGTAATTGTTAATTAATTTTAAGTGTACGGATTGGGAATGGAATATTCTAATTAAAACGAATTATAATAAGTTGTTGTTTGATTGTAAGCAAAGAGGTAATAGTACGATAATTATGAAGGTAAGAGAGGTCATTTCCTATCGAGAAAATCATTATATCGATTATTAAATTCAATATTTTATAAATCATTTCTGTTATCTTCTTCTAATTCAACGCACTTGAATAACAATGTATATTTTATTTTTGTTTGTTTCTATTCTGAAATCACTGAAACGAGTCTTAAATACTGTATAATATCAAGAAATAAGTAAGCCTGTCTTTTATGTCATCTATATTAATGTCCCATCAACCGCTTCGCAATTTATTTTCCTTCTACCTAGAAATGTACGCACAATATTCCTTGGTTTGCAGAATGTGTACGAGATGTCAAGTGAAGTAGCACCCTCTCTTTACCCTACAAACGCCCTTGACTATTAAAGGAGCTTCTTCTCAGAAACGAGAGCTCATTTATCTTGAGAATAATTACAGTCGAGACCCCGCCCTCGGCGTGTGGCAAGCTGGCAGAATCGTTTTTGTTCGTAGGAAAAATAGGTAATTCATATCCGCGGCGCATTTGCGCATAGAAATGCTTTTGTAGAAAAAGGTTTTTTTCTGGTTAAACATACGAAAATTTTCCACAGAATTTTCAAATTAATAAGAAATGACAAACTGTATGAGAATTGATTTCACTTGCTGTTCATATAAAACTATAATGATAGTCTAACTCTTGTATTAAATAGTGTATATTAATTTTTGAACGGAGTAAATTGAAAATGAAGGATTTCCTCTTGCCTCTCCCTGTCTTTAAAAAATCCCTAGGGCCCAGAAATTTTATTTGCTTATGATCAACATATTGTTGTATGAAGTGTGTTTGCGTTCTAGATTTTTAGTCTCATTAAACATGTTTTCCATTTTAATTCGCACTTTTTGAGATAATCTAGTGTTATAACTAATAGGGTAAGCAAATGAATGATGCAAAGAAAGGTAAGAAAAGATTTATTGACAGAAATTCAGGTGATTACGTTACATAAAAATTATAGTACAACCATGGTCGTTTAACCTCAGACATTCAGTAAATTGCACGTTTGTAAAGTATCTCTCGTTACGTACTTTAATAGGTCAGTGATGTAGAAAAAGCGGTTCTGATTGTTGGGCAGCGTTTTAGTCTGTGCCGTTGCGTGACAAAATCAAGCGGGTGAACAGCAGCACCAAAACAACAATTAGTTGAGGTAGAGATCCCCGACTGAAGTTATATTATTGTCAAGACCCTTAACACTGTAAAACCTAATAATGCTACAGAATTGCGCAGACTTTTTCGTATTTCGTATCGAACTCTCTTTAGTCTGGACTAGCTTTTCAGTTTTCCCCTATCCTCTTCCAACTTTCCAGCTTCTATTGGCACTTAAAATTCTCCCAGGGCCTCTTGCGGTGCCTACCTGTTCTCTGGGGACATTTCCTGTAAAGAGCTTCTTCGCGCTTCCCAACATTTTACAGGCTTACAGGTCAAAGGGACTGCAGTGATATAAGTTGCGGTCCTGAGCCATATATCCCAGTTTTGTTGCACGAAAAAGTTGCATGCATATTGAAACGCTTCCGGACGAGAAACATACAGTGACGTTATATGCCTTATGCCTATAAGGGGAAATCCTTGGAAGCGACGTGAAGGTCGGCGCGTACCAGCAGCGAGGAACTACCACCTCCTGGGATACAGCATGCACAACTCTTAAGAGGTTAACGACCATAGACGTTGGCGCGCCCGGAAACACGAAATGGTCAGCCAATCAACCAACTCCGCACTTGGTTTTCATCCTCCCTACGTCGACCTTATTGCAATTGGTGCGTGGAATTTCCTTCCGGGGAATTAAGCCAGGGAAACAGGAAGGGATCCGTCCCCCTTGAGAGATTTCCATCTCCTTGCTGACGAGGGACCGAGCAGTCTTATTCCTTCATCGCTGAATTGGCTGCAGGGTGCGTAGTGACAATCTTCTCCGAAAAGGTGTCAACTCCGGTAAAGGGCGAATAAAATAATTTATGAGGGAGAACGAGTAACGTTTTTACTTCTGCGATACGTGAATCCTAATTTAGATAATGTTTTCTTCTCCGAAATTCCTTAATTTGGTTTCCTTGATTTATTTAAGAGGAAATCATTAAAGAAGCACCTAAAATGAGTTATGTCCATATCAAAGAGAAAGTTAAATTTTTTTGCACAGGTGATCAAAGTCTCTACGGGAGACGGTCCCCGGCATCTCTTCGTCAACATGCACCCTAAGAAACATATTCAGAATTGAAGAGCAATAAGACCTTCAGAAATATACCATTTGTATAACGCTTCAGTACTTTAATTAATTGCAATAATTGATTTTCTTCATCGGGTGACAGTGTCCATCTCATTTCCACTCTCGCTCCGCCACTAGTTCTGACGTCACAACTCTTGTCTGTTGCAGCGGCCTTCGGCCAGGCGTTCGCCGAAGTAGTAGTCGAGAGCTCTCTGCGGGTCGTCGGCAAAGGTAACGGCCGCCTGGGGCGCCAGGGCAAGAAGCTGGAGCTTCCTTCCGCCGCCGCCGAGAGCTCTACCTCCACATCCACCTCGACCACGGAGAAAGCGTAGCGTAGCGGCCGTTGAAGGAACCATGGCTGCCCGCACCGGACCAGGTAATAGAGATTGCCCACAGAGCGCGCGCAAAACACAATCTCTGAAGAGTGCGCTACGACGACTATAGATGGCGAGACTACATACAAAGAAAACCAAGGTCCGCTGATGGGCTACGCCCTGGAGGCATTGAAAAGACACTGGAATAAAACTTCGGTATAAATTATATATTTTGTAATATAAAATAATAATATAAAATATATATTTGGTATAACATTGGTGTAATGCAGAGGAGAAGGACAAATATCGGGTAGCTTTTGATTTTTGAATGTAGTTGGCACATTTTCGGACATATGGGGGAATTTAAACTATGAGCCTTATCTTTGACTCATATCTGGGAAAGTTTTAGAAAATAATATATTAAAAAATGTTTGCACAAAGTCGCATTTTGAAAATCGGATCCAAATTTAGGTTAACCCTAGATTTTTAGAAAAATGTTGCGAAAAAAAGTAAGGAACAGTAAAATTCACTTACAAATAATACAATGTAAGTATAAAATCGTAAATTCACTTACAAAAATCACATGTATACACCTCTCTCCTAATCAGCACATTCCGTATGTGCCCACCCATGTCATGTAACAGGCTGTAGCTAATCCTCCATTTCTGATTTCGGAAAACGTCCGTTGGCAAAACAGACAGGAAGCATCATCTTTGTGAAGGGTTTGTGAGAGTTGTAGTTCCTCAAATTGCGAATCTGAGTCATCCAGGGGTTGCTATCTATTATCTTCTGAGTCTGAAGAACTCGGTGAAGGAGGATGATATTTTTCTTCTTGCTGTTTGATTTTGGAGGGGGTTTCCTCTTTCTTCATTTTGTATTTCACCTCATTAACGTAAAAAGAAGCTTTCTGTTCTTCAATTTTGGTTCTCACGGTAGAAGCTCCGACCGTTGTAGCACCTCCCTTTAAGAGGTTGGTGACTAGTGATGCTTCAACATTGAATGAATTTTTTTTATAATTAGTTATATAAATAGTACATTGTAATTAAAAACATCATTTTTACGTTATTAGCAATGGTATTGGTCTGGTCCAAATATCGGCTTCTCTGGAGAGGTAACCCGTTTTTAGTCCTCACTCAGCCTAATCCCTTTTTACAATTTACTCGTAACCATCATGGCGGGCACTACTGGTATGTAGGAGGAGGTTGGATGAAGCATTGAAACCATTTACCAACTCAACGTCAACACAGCCCTGCTGCCAAATAACATTTACAGCCACTGGTAATGGTGAAAAACAATTTATACCTGCTTAAGGTTTGACGTTGGAAAAACTCACAATCGATTATTTTTTTTACGCACAGTTTCTGAACGCGTTTACTGATGGGCACCAACTGCTCTTCGCTCTTCAACTGGACCGAGGGGACTAGTTTCACGCCATTCCCGATTCACTTAGACATCCTCCAGCTTCACAACAGAAATTAGCCCGATTTTAAACACTAGCCTATATTTGGACCTTCTCCTCTAATAAAGGAAATTTCAGTACGTCTTTCAAAACAGTACACACACATTTTGCCTTGGCGTGTTAAATTTTTGGAAACATTAAATTGTGATGGAATTACCTTTCCCGTAATCTATTTTCGTTTTCCTCAAATGTAGCAAGTATGCGATGTTGTTGGATCAAGTTCCAAAGATGGATAATTTCGACCTTTCATTTTTCTCAGGTTTTGCTTTTGCAGTATACATTTATATTTACAGAGAAACGTAAACGAACTCTTTTGGGAGCCTAAAACTGTTTCGATGATTTATTTATATCTCTACATAAAGTTGCGTATAGTATATGCAACTTTATAAGAACTCGCAAATAAGACCAACAACAAATAAGAACTCGCAAGACCGATCACGGCTGCTGCGGATACGAGGGGAACGGGAACTTTTCCATCCAATAACTAAGCATGGGTTATTTTTTTGTTTAATAAACTCATTGCCGAATAGAGACGTTAGACATATGTTTGAAATCACTTTTACTTTCTCGCTGCGGTGTAGAGAGAAAGTTATGTAATGCTGCGCGATAAAAACTGCAATTTTTTGGCAGAAAAAACCTCTTATTACAAGTTCCTGGTAACGGAAAAAGGGATACATCCAGTAGCTAAATTTACAAAACAAAATCCTCTAACACACGGTGTAGCCATGTTTTGTGGGTCCTCGATTCCGAAAAATCGAATGGCGGTAAAGCGCCCGGCCGGCCGTGAACAACGCTAGCGGCTGGACCGTTCAACCGATTTTCTCTCTAACTGATATTTCCAAATCGATTTGGCTGATGCCACAGACCCTTGAATTTGAAACCGATATTTTAATTTTGAGGCGTATTTTACACGAGGTTCCTGGTACATTTTCCAAACAAACAAAAATGGCACATCGTTTTTTTAGTAAATTTTGTTGTTGGATAGTGTGAAGGATGAGTAAGAGATATTTCGATATAAAATGTAGCAAAAATATAGCATGAGATTCATGTAAATATCCCAAAAAATTAAAATATCTTTTTAAAATTACCAAGGTCCATAGTAACGACAGATCTATTAGAGAATATCAATTTTGTAAAAAGTATGTACTGCCTGCGGTTTATTTGAACCATGTCAAAGTGTTGCTTCAATTATTTATTTTGATATATTTGGACCTCATTAACAGTATATCATTATATTCTGATGGTACTGCAGACCGAATATATCCTCTAAGGCAAAGAAAAAATTAAATTATTAACATTATGAAAAATAATCCTTTGTAAGTCGGTTAAAAAGCATTGAGCATTTTTTTACTTTACTTGCATGCTTTACTCACACACAACAAAACTCGCATACATTAAAATATAAATAATTCAACACACAGAAAACTATGAAAATCTGAATCTTAAGACTTCAAAAGAGAAATGTAACGTTTGGATAAGTTGGGAAATTTGATTTTTTTAGTAATTATTTTGTTGTAGGTGTATTAGAGGTGGAAACGTTAAGAGCTACTAAATTTCATTGCCAATAAAATGTGTATTAACATTCTAAAATTTCAGCAATATGTCTTTTGAGACGAGTTAGATTTTGAAAAAAATAATATTAATAACAATAAGTTTTAAAATACGCATTTTTCTATGCAATTACGAAAGGAGGAATAAAATAATGAACAACTCTTTCAATGTTCCTCAGTTCTGATCAATGCTCATGTACTTCGTCTTTATCTCGAGATATTACTAATATCAGGAGAACCATTTTTAACGATTATCTTTATAAGAAAAGTTATTGTTATATTATCACACTAGTAAGTCACACTTAAAGATTTGAACATTCTGAGGTGAGATTATAGATTTAATTTTATTTACTATAGTAATATTTTAAACGTATGTTCGAAACTATAGAAGAGGGATTAGAGGTTTGAAAATAAAATTGTGTTAATACCTACACACGTCGTAAAAACTACTCGATAAATTTCGTTGAAAGTTTCGCACATTGTTCTTGTTAAATAGTGGTTTAAATTAATTCAGGCATGTGGGTCGTTGTTGATAATGATTTATTCCTTTATGGTACTCAAGTGCCCCTAAATATTTGCAACCCGCCGCACCGTCAAGTTTTAAGCGCGTCTGTGGCAGTTCTGCCTCTGCGATAGTGAGATATCAGCCGGAATTATTTCGTGAACATTATCTCTGACAAGTAAATCAAATTTTTCCAAGACAGTGTAATAGCGAATGCAAGTCCAAATTTGAGGAAAACATGTCAGGAATAGAATACGCCACAACCATGTCCAGATCAGGACATGGAACAAACACATACTCGCGAGAAAGACTTTCATCTATTAAAATGTGTGCAAAATTCAGCGTGAAACGAGATTAACAATCATGTGACCAGTAGCGCATGAGGGGTAAAAATTTGCATTGCCGGGTCAGCTATTTTGAATAAAATGAAAAAAGTTGTAATTGATTAAAAAAGCTACGGTGGTCCAAATATTTTCGGTGTAAAACGGAAGCATTGTTTGAAAACGGTCCGACGTTAAATTTCGATAAATAAGGAATATTTAAGAAGAGAGAAAACTACCTTTTCCAGAGTTTTTGAGCGAACGTTGAGAGATTCTATACTCTTTTCCTTTCAATATTCCAGATAGTACCACGTTATTCGCCGATCTCAGAACTCAGAAATCCTGGCATATCATGTTCCGCGTTTCTCTTCATTTGGTAGGAGCGTTCGAGAACTGTATCCTATTACAATGTAGCCAAATTATGGCGTTGCGGCAAGCTCAATGCTTTGGAGTTGTGAAAATTGGAACATGGGACTTGCAATTGGTGGTTGTCTACGGGCTCAGCCCGGGATCGATGACATTTGGGAAATGTTTCCTTTCAGCAAGTCCAGAGCAACCTACTGACGAGATTTTGAACTCCGTCTCCAAATACGTTTCCTCCTTTTCGCCTCCAGGGTGCAATAGTGCACAAAACCAATTTCATGATAAGATGTTAATCTTAAAATCTCACTAAATTTATTTATAAAGTTTTAAAATGAACTATAAATTTATATTTTCTGATACTATTTAAACTTTTGTCTTGCATTGTGTGATTGAAATTTAAAAAAGTCAAAAAATTATTGTTTTCTCGCATATAAAATTTATCCATAGCCTGCACTTGTTATTCAAGAATTTCAAAATTTTCTGTGGAGGCGCCACTGTCGCAGAGCTGGCGTGAGGGGTGGGGGTACGGGCTGTGGGCTGCGCCAAGGTCTTGGCGATGGAAACGGCTGCGCGCGCAGTGGGCCGTGACGCCCTCGGCGCCACGGCGCTGCGCAGCTGCCGAGCCCGCCGCCTCCGCTCCCAATGCCAGCGCCCGCCCCGCTCCGCTCCGCCCCGCCCCGCGCTGCGCAGTGCTGCGACACTACTGCGGCCACCGCCATACTGAGCAGCTCCCGCCGATTACGACCCGGCTGTAGGCCAACCTCCCCCCGCTCCGCATTCGTCAGTAGAGAATTCGCCTTCAAACGACGTCTTCGATTTGCTTGTCTTTATTTGGGGATATATCGGAATTGTTGCAGTCACAATCAACCACAATCATAATTCTATTTTTACGTCTACATTGTGGTTCCTATGTCAGCTCTTTCGGCCTACCCTGAGACGGATGAGGTAAATTGCTAGGCAGGTGAATGATGAATTATGATGGGGCAATGGAGTAATGGTAGATTAAGTAGGAGGAGAAACGGGAGAACCTCTGGGAGACCTGCCGGGAATTTGTTTCGCAAATTCTAGTTGGATCGAAATGTTTTTGAAAAGCAGATTGAAGGCGAGTGGCCTGGTCTCTGCACCACAGATGGTCCTTCTATAATATACTCGCGGATTATTAGATATTTCTAAAACAGATTTTGCGAGAAAGAAATGTTTTTGTTGTTTTTTTTGCTTTTGAGTTACAGGAATACCTCAATATTAAAAATGACAAATTATTAATATGATGAATGTTAGAGTATCTCAATAAAGTTCTATGGAGCTCTATTAAATATTTCAAACACGATATTTTTATCGTAATTTCAAATATGCAACCAAATCCGTCAAATAAATCCAAAGATATTGGTAAACCTCGTGTCAAGACGTGCGGTACTTTACCTTAGTTACTTTATACACTTAATTGAAATTTCTGCAAATCCAACAGAATTTCATGTTTTTCGTTTGGAATGCATTCAAATATTTAACTTATTTGTCCTGTGTCATTTATAATTTAATTTATTATACAATTTTTTGGCTATTATTATAATTATGATTTTGTTTACAGGTCGCGAGATGGGCAGCGGATCTCAAAGGAACCCACATCGAAGGTCAACATCTCCACGCCACACAACTTTTTAATGCTGATTTTTTAAAATTAATAACTACTTTGTAAATAAATTAATAACTTGTAATATATAATATACGGCCTAAAACTTACTTTAGTGAAATTATTTTCTCTATATTTACACAAGATGTTGCACTGACAATAAGAAATACTAGACCCTGCAGCCCAAAAATTCTGCTGAACCAAATCATACAATATAGTTTTACACACAGTAACCCATGCACTACAGAAGAACAACAAATATAATACCTCTTATAATACTGTAATAGATTAAATATTTCAACAGAAGCAGTTTTCACGAATACTAAATAACATGTTATAGTATACGGATATATAGTATACCAGTTATATACTAAGAATATCAAAAGAGTTGTTGTTTCTTAATGCAACACGTGAGTAGCAAATATTTAATGGAGAACGATCTCTTCCTTAGAGCCTTGCTGTTGTATGATATCAGCAGAGCCATGTATTGTAAGCAGTCACACACTACAAATCCAGTGGGTACGCGCAATATGAGAATATACAAAAACGCAATCAACTTTTCTGCATTTTTCAGACAAAATCAAAAAGGTTTGTTTTGGATTTTCCCAAATTCTCTAATGAAACCATTGAGACCTCTCACGTGGCCAGAGACTACAGTTATTACTACTAGTTTTCTTTTAATTATTGCGCCCATTAGATTGATTAATAGTTCCTGGAATGTCAACTGCTGATTTAATCAGTCCTGTAAATGTAGAGCATGTTTTGATCTCGGGAGGTGGTGGTTATCTTCCGACATGACGTCGGCTTGCGGGGGTTTGCCCTTCAGGTATCTCTCGCCAATGGAGCATCGCCAAGCTCTTAGCTCCCGACTTGCATGGTAGTGTGTTAAAATATATATATATATATATATATAT